GAGGGTCCCGAAGTTAAGCACAAAGGGAAGTGGTGTGGTCGGTCTGGCAGCTGACGATGGGAGCCTGGGCTCTGCAGACAATCCAGCCAGAGCTGAGATCAGGTGCAGCCTGGGGAGGCGCAGGAATTGGGGGCTGAGGGTTCCTCCCCCAGTAGCTCTATTACTGCCTCGCTGTGTGACCCCAGACAAGAAGACACTGAGCTTCTCTGTGCCACAGGGTCCTCCACTTGAAGTGATGGAGAGGATCCTACAAATCTTCCCAGCCTGGGCCAGCAGCCACTCCATCCCGGTCCTCACTAACAGAATCCCATTTCAGGAGGGGTCTGCAGATACACGCAGCCCTGGGGTGAACCTTGGCTGACCTAACACACAGCCAGGTGCTCGCCCAGCCTGGAGGGGCTTGGGAGTGGGCCCCTGGGCAAAGGTGAGGGTCCCCCAGAAGGGAAAGGCTCAGAGGAGGGAACCATTTTGTGGCTGCCCCCTTGCCATGAGGAGAGATACACAGACATGTGGAGGGTGCCAGAAGGGAGTAAGGAAACCCCGGGTGATACCCCTGAACCCTGAGCCAGCCACAAGACCACCAACCTCGAGCTCTGAATCCTAGTAAATATTAATATCCTGGGGGTTTAGTCCCCGTTGGTTATGAGGCAGTGAAGTGCTGAAGAACCCTGGGGCCCAGTTCTGCTGGTCTTTACCTGTGCTTCCTTGGGCAAGTGTCTCAACCTCTCTGTCCCTGTTTCCTGTCTGCAAATGTCAATAAAAAATACTTTCACCTGGGGCACCTGGGTGGCTCAGTCGGTTAAGCGTCTGCCTTCGGCTCAGGTCGTGGTCTCAGGGTCCTGGGATTGAGTCCCGCATTGGGCTCCCTGCTCAGTGGGGGGCCTGCTTCTCCCTCTGCCCCTCTGTCCCACCCCTCCCCCTGCTTGTGCTCTCTCTCTCTCTCTCCCCCAAATACATAAAATCTTTAAAAAAAAAAACTTTCTCCTTCTTAGGGTTTTATGCAGATTCGAGAAGGAAATGCATGTGAAGTTTGGCCCAGACCACGGAAGTCTTTGTTGTCGTCTGTGGGTCAACAGGCTCTGGAGCCTGTGTGTCCTGTGCTGTGTCCTTACTGCTGCTCCCCCCTCCCAACAGACACACACACACACACATAGACACACAGACACACACACAGACAGACAGACACATGCATCCTGCTCCTTCACACCTGATTCAGCCAGGTGTGCCCTCCCCGGGCTTCTTCCCGGAACTCCCCATTTAACCTTCAGTCCCCAAACTACAGGCTCCAAAGGAATATTCGAGAAGCCTTCCCGGCGCCGCGGCCTCGGCTTCCCGCTCTCCCGCGGGGGCCCCCCCGGCGCTGGGGTGTGCCCCTTTCCCGGTTGGGAGCGCAGGCCGGGCCCCTGGGGGCGGCGAGTGACGCAGGCGCTGCGCTCATGCGGCTCTCGGCAGTCAGGGCACGGCTCCCGTCGCCGCCGCCGGTCCCCGAGGCCCTCGCAGCCTCTTCTTGTCTTTCCTTCGGGCCTGGGCGCCTGCTCCCGCCGCCCCGGAGGCCCGGCCCTCCCCTGGACTGCGTGGTGGGGGAGGGGGGCTTAGGGGGTCGCGGGGGAGGGGGCAGCCACTGGGCCCAGCCCAGCGGGGACACCAGGCCAGGCCCCGGGGTCCCAGCCGGAGCTGGGAGTCCCCAGATGGGACTCCACCCATCCTGCCGCTTACAGGCGTTTAACACCGGAGAGAGTGTCAAAAATATGTGTCCCGGTTTATTTTGCTTTTTATTTAGGTTGTTTTTGCAAGTAAGACCTCTTATGAGGCCTTTTCATTTCTGATTCTTTGAAGCCTAATGTAAGCCCCTGTAGAGATCTGATGGATCTTCACCTTGAGCTCCCCCCATGAGAGGAGGAAGCCAAGGTTTGCCATTTCTCACTCCTGGTGTGGATCCATCTCAGCTCGGGGCCTGTCTGCCTAAAGCCCAGCATTTTCTCATGCTTGTGATTCTTGCTCTGTGGATCCTCTTTGATTCAATTCAGTGAGCAGTTTGGGGCTCCTACAACTTTGCTCCCTGCAGTTTCCCTCTTCACAGTAGACAGAGCATTTGCGTGTCTACACTGCCGAGGGTCCTCAAGTGTCACTGGTGGACCACAGGTGAGGAGAGCGAAAGGTGGACTTACTGTGGCCGCAGAGGCCCTTTGAAAGTGAGGTCAACCCCCTTCCGACAGGCTGTGTGCATGTCATGTGGTGCAGGCTCTGGGCTGATCCTGAGAAAAGGAGAATGAGAAACAGGAATGGATGGACCCTGGGGCAGTTAACTGTTACTTGCTCTCAGAAAAGATGGTCTAGGGTTGCCTGGGTGGCTCAGTCATTAAGCGTCTGCCTTTGGCTCAGGTCATGGTCCCAGGGTCCTGGGATGGAGCCCCACATCGGGCCCCCAGCTCCGCGGGGAGCCTGCTTCTCCCTCTCCCACTCCCCCTGTTTGTGTTCCCTCTCTCGGTGTGTCTCTGTCAAATAAATAAAATCTTAAAAAAGAAAAGAAAAGATGGTGTAACAGTCAGGAAATAAAGAGTATTCTGAGATTTGAGGCTTAATCTGGAGGCTTGCAACTCTTTGTTTTGTAAATATTTCAGAAACTCTTAACCTTTATAGCACCTTGGTCTGATTCCCTTAAATCCTCATTGAGATAGGAAGCGAGGTTGTTAGTACATTAAGCGAGTAACTTTGGGAGCAGGTGTGGCTTGCCCAAGGTCACAGAGTAACTCCCGGGAAAGCTGAGGCTGGTACCCAGAGCTTCCCACCCTCCCTTCCTCCCTTCCATAATCTATTGAAAACCCACTGCGTGGCAAGCACCGTACCAGACTATGGCACCGAACAGAAAAATGAAGTCCCTTCTGCCCTGGGGGTCTCACTGTAGAGGGGCACAGCCATACACACGCACAAAAGATAAACAGACAAGGAAATGAGCTGCAGGTTGTAGTAAGTGCCTATTAACCCTTCAACGCTGACTCAAGTTAGAAAGTAATCGAAGCGGGGCTGAGGGAGGGATGTGCCAGGTGGGTGGTCAGGGAGGTCTCCTCTTAGGAGCGGACACCGAAGCAGCCAGGTGAATCCTACAGAGGGGTGAGGGGAGGGGAGGCTTCTAGAACAAAGAAACAACACGTTCTGAGATTTCAAAGCAGGAGCAAAAGGAAGCGGATAGATTTGAGATGTCTTTTCCAGGTAGGACTAATAAAGAGGGAAGTGTAGGAACGTGGGGTGTTCAAAAGGTCCATGTGACATGTGAAGTGATATATTTGACCTGACAGCGCAGTAACAAGACTTTTTCTAGCCCCTGCATGTTCCAAGAGGGTGGGTGTTAGGCCACGCAGCTGGCCTAAACTAGGCCTGTGGCCTCCACCACAACCAAGAATCACAAGGGAGCAACAGTTTGGACCCAGCTCCTCTCCAGGCCCCATGAATGGAATGAGCATGTTCCTCCTGGGTTAACCCAGGATGCTATTCTCTCTGGAAGACTCTCTTCAGCTCTTAATAAGAATAATGGCATTAGGGCCCCTGGGTGGCTCAGTCAGTTAAGCGTCTGCCTTCGGCTCAGGTCATGATCCTGGAGTCCCTGGATGGAGCCCCGCGTCGGGCTCCCTGCTCAGCGGGGCGTCTGCTTCTCCCTCTGCCCCTCACCCCCGTCTCGTGCTCGCTCTCTCTCAAATCAATAAATAAAATCTTTTAAAAAAAAACAGAGTAATGGCATTAACAATACAATACCGTTATTAATTAGCTTTACAATGGTGCAGGAACTTTTCTAAAGCTCTTATGTATTACATGATTTCAGTCCTCACAACACCATGAGGTGGGTACTAGTTAGTATCTTCCCGACATTACGCTGGAAGAAAGTGAGGCACCGAGAGGTCAAGTAACCTGCCCGAGTCATGAAGTTTTGAGCAACAGAAGCCAGATTCTGACAGGCCACTGGGCTCCGGTGTCCTCACAGTCCATAAGGGGATGTTCCTGAAGAGCCTGGCGTCAGGTCCGCAGTGTGGGAGGTCTCTCCCTGGGACACCAACCCCCTTAGAGCACTTGGTGGGGAGAAGGCAGCCCAGAGCTTTCTTGGGCACCCTGGAGAGGAGGCGAAGAGCCTGGGGCTGGGAGAGCTAGGGGCTGAACAGATCCTGAGAGGAGCAGGGTGGCTGGCCTGGGTCCAAGGACCAGAGGGGCGCTCCAGTGGCCCAGGAGAGGGAGGCTTTAGTCCCTTCATCCCACCAGCCTGGGGTCGTGAACCAAAGTCCGCTTTCTCAGGCTGGGCTCATTTGGCTGTGGCTCCTCCAGCCCCCCCAACACCAAAGCTCCCTCGCCCCCACTTCCACCCTAGGCCCGAGATGGTTCCTGCCTCGGCACCCACAAACTAGGGTCCTTGTCGGGGTAGGAATTGGGGCAGGTGGCTTTCCCCCCACCTTTGAACCTTGCTGGGTCTGAACCCTGCTCTGGGTGTGTGTGTGGGGTGGGGGGTGGGAGTGTCCCCCCCGGGAGGCTAACCCTCCTGATGGGGTTCTGCACATCTGACGGTCCCCTGTCCCACTGATCCTGGGCCGGGGCTGATCCTGCTCCCCGCACACCAGCCCCTCGGGCCCCCCTCCCCACCTTCTCAGGGGGCTGTGCTTGGGGACCGGCCCGCTGCCCCCCAGCCTCCTCTGGGCAGCCAGAAAGATCGGAGACGGTTTCCACGAGACCCCCCCGCCCCCATCCGTCCCTCTCCCCGGGTCCAGAGAGCCACAATCACGGTCGCAGCAGCTCCTGTCACTCGGCAGCCACGCGGCTGCCAGTGACAGCCCGCAGGCCGGCACCCCTCCTCCCCAGCGCCCCCCCAGACAGGTCCACGTGCGTCCCCAGATGCCTGAATCACTGCCTGGCGGTCGTGGGCTCCTGGGGAGTCACTGGGGAGGGGGGGTGGCGGCCACGTCGTCTCCGGGGGAGCACCTGCAGACATAAAAAGGCAGCCCGTGAAGGCAGCCCAGCACACTCCGCACACTGTGCCCACCTGCGCCAGGATGCCAGACGCCATGCTCCCCGCCTGCTTCCTGGGCCTGCTGGCCTTCACCTCTGCCTGCTACTTCCAGAACTGCCCGCGGGGCGGCAAGAGGGACTTGTCTGACCTGGAGCTGAGACAGGTATGACCGGGGTGCATCTCGGGGCTGCCTGGAGGGGACAGAGCCCCCGGGCCTGCGCTACCCTGCAGGGGCCAGGCAGGAGGGAAGTCGTGGAAGAGGCCAGCTTTAGGGGAAGTAGCAGGGAGGCTTGGCATGGCTGGGCAGGGGTGGGGGGGCCAGGCTGCCAGGCAGGCTAGGACGGGCTGCAGGACTGCGGGGACACTATCCCCATCCAGGCAAGGGACGCAGGAAAGCCCGTGTTTCCCCAGTAACGGGGCTTGGGGCAGATCAGGGAGAACTGGATAGCAGGGCCTCCTCTGTGCCCATCGGAGTCTCACAGCCGCAACGGGCTGTGTCATAGCCAGCATGGGAGGCCTTCCCCATCCAGCCGTCACCCTCTCCTAGCCACGGCTCCCCCAGGCCCCACACAGAAGCTGCCCATTGCTCTGAGCTCCTTCGAGTGAGGGTGCCACCTCCTGCCAGGCAGTTCTGCTGGGAACCTAGCCCAATTCTCCCGCCCTGCTTGTCCAGTCAATTCCCTTTCAGTCCCTTTTCAGCAGAGCTGAAGGAAATCCCATCCCCATGCTCAAACCTTCCCAGGCCACAGGGGGCTCGCTTCCGAGCTATTGAACAAACTGGGGTGGGTCTGTGGGCAGTTTGTTGGCTGCCCTCTGCTGGGCACCTTCCGACACCGGAGTCAGCGAGGTGCCCCGTGCCCTTCCCTGGGGCTCAGGCTCCTGCCACCCACAGTTAGTGCCTGGCCGGTGAGCCCAGGTCCGGGCCCCCAGAGGCCCACCGGCTCGTGGAGCCGGGCCAGGAAACGGGAGGAGGGGCCTGGAAGTGTTCTGGGCGGGGCAGAGCCCTGTCTGGCGGGGGCGTGCGTGCTAGAGATCAAGTTTGAGTCCTGGGGGCAGGGGAGGAAGGTCGGCCTTAGGGGAGGGGCGGGCAGGGAGAGAGGGGCGCACACCTCTGATGGCCCCGGGGCTGAGAGGGAGGGTCTCTCCGGCGCAGCGCGGTGCGGAGGGGGCCTCCCTCAACGAAGGGGGAGGGTGCCGAGGCTGTCACCGAGAGCCGGTCCTCAGTCACCTGTAGACCCGGGGCCTCTAGTGGACGTGCGCCCCCTCCCGCGACCGCGGCCCCCGGCCTCGCTCGGCCCGCGCTCACCCCCCGCCCTCCCGCCAGTGTCTCCCCTGCGGCCCCGGGGGCAAAGGGCGCTGCTTCGGGCCCAGCATCTGCTGCGGCGACGAGCTGGGCTGCTTCGTGGGCACGGCCGAGGCGCTGCGCTGCCAGGAGGAGAACTACCTGCCGTCGCCCTGCCAGTCGGGCCACCAGCCGTGCGGGAGCGGGGGCCGCTGCGCCGCCGCCGGC